TAGCCAGACCTATCCACACAGCACTGTGTCAGTGTATTTCTCTAAACCAATCCCTGTCATTTTCAGTAGCACTAAGCCCAGGATGCAGTGATGGTGCCCCTGCAAGAAGGAAAAAAAAAAAAAGTGACTGGGAATATTTTCAGGGGGGTGGGCACTTTCATTAAAATGGCTAATTCACTGAAACCTTCAAAACTCTTCGTTTTCAGCTTGTGCGTTGCTGCTTGGAGATTGTTAGTGTTTCCTGTAGTGAAAACAGTAACATGCAGATAACAGAAGGGGAGAAGAAAGTTGTGTGAAATGCACGGTGGAAACGGCAGGCTAATACCCACAGTCTACATCTGTTGAGTCAGATTAGGCTTAAACCAAGTCTTAGAACTAAAATTTTACATTGTGAGGACAGACCATGTGACTGTATGTACAGATGTATGTCCTCACAACATGAGTAATACAGGTATCACACAGACACACACACACTGGATTTAAATGGGTCTGTTGTCTTGCCCAATCTATGCACCCATCAGTTCTTAAACCCACATAGGAAAACCTTTAATGTTATTACATCAACACTGCGGTTTAACACACACGCACACACACCTACACACACACACACACACACACACACACAGAAACACACACACATACACACACACAGAAACACAGTGTGTAAAACCAGTTTAAAGTAGAAGAAAGACGTCAACCCTGTTACAACTTTAAAAAAAACAACATCCTCCTTATTTACAGCAGTTTCCATCCGTCTGTCTTTTTAAATGCTCCCTTCCTCTTGTGCGTTTTTCGTCATCCCTCTTTCTCTTAGCTGCAATCAACCAAAGTCCATCTATCGTATTTGTCTACATACTCCTTTCCCCTCTCCATCTAGCACCTTTCCCTCTTTTCCTTTCTCTCGTTGTCTTATCATATCTTTGACCATCAGAAATCAATCCACGTTGTGTTTTTTCCCTCCCATCCTCTCCTCTCTTCTCCCCTCTCCTCTGTCTTTCTCTTGGATGCGCACTTAGGTGTCAAAGGCATTTCACTCGCAATCCTTCAACTGTTCAAGAACACACACACACACACAGACACGCACACACACACACATGCGCTGACACACAGTGACGCCAGTGTGGTGTAAAAATCTATGCTGATGTGATCAGTGCAGATCGTGCTATTGACAGACAGCAATATTCCCACGATAGGACTGATTCACCTTCATCACTGTCACACAGTTTCTGCATGTATGTGTGTGTGTGTGTGTGTGTGTGTGTGTGTGTGTGTGGATGACCGTGGGTGTACAGCAAATGACCACAGTGGTACGACATGTAGGTACAAGAAACAGTAACTTAAAACATTTTAAAAAGGTAAAACAGGCATTATTAATTAAGAGCTTAAACACATAACAGGAATGATTAATGGTGCAAAAAAAAAAGCAGCACAAATGTTTAGCTTTGTGTTTGAAAGATGTTTATTTGTGTGTGGGTTTAAGGTAGTACACTAAGGTGAGCTGTTAGTCGACTTACAGTAATAAAAGCTGGACAAGGCGTATAACCTCCTCTGTGGATTTTTTCCTCTTCCTTTCCTCTCATTGTTCTCTTCCTATCTTATTAGCCTTTATTAGTCCTTACGTCATCATTCTTGTTCACTCTCATTTCATTTCTCTCATTCTTTTTTCGTCTTTTGTTTACCAGGCCATCCATAACTCACCTCTGCCTTTCTCCTCTTATTTCACAGCCTGCGCTCCACTCTCCTCTCTCCTCTCCTCTCTTTTTTTTTTCTCTACACTTTCTTTTATCATAATCTTCTACTAATGCTTTTTATCATTTTTTATCAAAATTTTATTTCTTTTCATGTGGCTTTTTATTCCATTTTGCACCCATTTTCCTTTCAATTATTCTGTTCTTCCCGTTCTTTTTCTTTTTTTTTTATCGTTCTATGTTTTATTTCTTATGATCCTTACATGTATCTTCCACCTGCCCCCCGTTCCCTCTTTTCTCTATTCTCCTCTCCTCCCCTCATTCCTTTCCTCCTCTCCCCTCTCGCCCATTCTTTACGATTTGAAGGCTCATTTGTTAAGAGGAGGTAGTGCACTCTCACTCTCCACCTAGCTTCCTCCTGTCTCTTTTTTGTGGGCTTTGGAAATATAATTTTCAATTTTTAATTTGATTCATTTAGATTTGATCATTAATCAGTGCTGAGAGAGAGTTAATTTGGTGGAAAATAGATGAGGTAGTTAGAGAGGGTTCTTTATGAAGTGAGCTCAGCACAGCACTGGGTCTTTTAGGTATATGGGAAAGAGAGGAAAAATTGAGAGACTGCATGCGAGAGTTTGTGTGTGGTAGAGAGAAAGCCTTGATGAAACAGAAAGTGTGTGAGAGAAAGTGTGTATATTGACAGAAAGCATCTTAATGATGACTGTATGTAGGAACCTTAAGTGCCAATAAATCATTATTGCTTTCATTTTAATTGACAAACAAAACTGAAGCTGAGAAGGCTGATACTTGAGAGAATCTCCTCGTCTGTTTTATAGCGCGGATCACCAGAGACGGTTTCTTTTTCGACATCGCAAACAACACCAAAGATCTCAGAACTACTGGCAACCTTAACCAGTAAAAGACCACAGATTAAGAATGATAGGAAGAAAGATTACTCGTCTTCTTTGCAACAGGAAATATAGACTTTTTGTAAATCAGTGTCATAACAATTTAATTTCACTGTGATATGATTACATCGACAAAAAATAAATAAATACATTAGCTTCCCCTATGATTCTTCTTGCTAGAATTATTCCAGAATCCAACTAAATCTGTCATTTTCAACAGCACTGTCTAGACACAAATTAACATACAGAGCTTATTGGTCTAGTTACTGCCCTTGTCAAGGGAAGCAGTAACTAAGAGCAAGAGTGCTCTGGAAGAAGCCAACACTTGCTTTGCTTCAGTTTAACTGCTCCCTTGAGTGACATTATGGTCAGCACTGTTTTCTTCTGTTTTGATTATTCAGTTGCCAGGCTGGTGTTGTCACTGCTGTATTTTATGGTGCCTTGCATGCTTTGCAGCTTTGTAGTCAGAGTACTTTTCTTGACATCAAGGTAGGTATGTGATTGGCGGAAGCTTCAGGTTTGTCATAAATAGACACACATGCACACTGGTTATGTTGCAGTACAGGCACAGAAATCAGAGATGTCTTGGAATTGAACTTGGATCTGTTTTTGTTGATATATGTAACCACATTGCCGACAACTGGATCTGTAAACCTTTAAGCTTTATCGCATGACTTGCACATGTTTGTTAAACTCCTTTTCTTTGTTTCACGCTGTGCTTATTTGTCCTCCCTATCATAACACCTACCTTTTCACTTACTCCCCCTGTCCTCTAACTCGGTATGTCTATTTCTGCTTTCTGTCTTTCTCACTCTTTTCTTCTGACCAACCACTGACCCAGGTAGCGACTGAGCAAGCTGTTTGTGGGGGCTTACCAAAACACACACGTCGGGATGTGGGTTAGAGAAACATAGACATTGTGTGAATGTGAAGGAGTAGGTGTGTGAGTGAGTTTGTACCCCCTGGTGTTAAGAGTCTCTTGACCGTTTGCTGACACTGGCCCCCCCACTGTACCTGGACTGTCAGTCCTTCTGTCTACCTATCTCTTTCCTAAGCGCTCGCACACACACACAGATGCATGTCATGTCCAGTTCACTGGGCTGACAACTGCCTGAGCATGTAAGAATTTTCTAAATACCTACATTTCCATTGAAAACACATGTAGACTACTGTAAGGTGTTTTCAATAAACGTGCTCACAAGCATGTACTACAAAACACAAATAAAACAGGTGAAGATATTTCCTTTTAACTACTTGTAAGTGCAGAATAATGCACACACATGCTCCCTGACACTTTATTTCTTTGTCTGGTAAATCTTTTAGGTGTGTTGTCTTGAATGTGGTCAGCACATTTTTCTAAGGATTTAAACCTGTGTGTGATCAAACATCTCGTGCTTTCACAGTGTTCCTGCTCCCCTCTCCATCTTTTCCTTTCTCTCTGTGGATCTAAAATAAATCCTTACTGTTTTAAATGCACTTTGTGTCACATAACCTTTCAAATCAGTTTTGCTGTTTGAATATAAAACACCGTACAGACACTGCATTAATATTAGTTTTAGTTTTGTGTCACATTAGGATGCTTTAAACATTGTAGATTGTGTTTGATTTATTTTCAGTAAAACTGGTGTCATCAGTATTTCAACAATAATGTTTTGCATACTGTTAGTTAAACCAACAACATTCAGATTGATCTGCAGCTATCTGAGACTTTTTCAGTGACTTATTGGCCAACTTTGCTTCTCTTCCACAAGTTATTTATTCACTGGTCAAAACAGGAACAGCTCAGAGGTAGTTTTGAAACATTTTGCGGCTCCAGCCTTCTCCTCTCCCCTCCTCTCCTTCTCTTCTCTTCTCCTCCTCCAGGGTACATGACACCTCTGTCTTCCTTATCCATCTTTAAGTGGTAACCACGGTAACATCCAATCCCCTGAGAGATAGGCCTAATTAAATTAGGACTCCTTTATGTCAATTAATTAACAGACAGAGAGGGAGACAGCAATAGAGAGGCCGAGATTGGGCAAGAGACAGTAAAAGATTCAGAAAGCCAGAGAGACAAAGTAAGAGAGAGAGAGGCCTTCTACTTAAAAGGCATCGCTATAAATTTGTCTAGCTCCAGAATAAAAGAGTCAAGTGAGTTTAGCAAGCTAAACAGTAACATAAAAGTGATAAATAAGTGCATAACGCACACACATACATGCACATGGATCCAGAACTCATGTGTCACTTTCCTTCATTCCACACCTCTCATCTCTCCCCTTCCTTCACTTCAGTTCTCCTGTGCTTTTCTTGCATACGTGCAGATTTGGTATTTTTTTTCTTGTCTTCTTAAATAGTCAAAGTGTCTCTTTGTTCTTGTGTCATGCACACTTTATTGATATATACTTCCTCTCCCTGTCGTTTCTTACAGGTGTTCGCCTGGACAGGGTTCGTGGTGGAAGACAGAAGTATAAACGCCGGATAGATGCAGACAACAGCCCGTACCTGAACCCACAGCTGGCTCTGCCCCCTAAGAAGCCATGTAAGAACACACACACACACACACACACACACACACACACACAAACAAACAAGCTCTGACCACCGACAGTATGTAAAGTAGTGTTTTTTTTTGTTCCACAAGGTTAATCTATGATTCTCAAGGGCAGGAATGGGGACATTTTAATTAGTTTATTATAACTCATAGTCTACAAATTGTTGCACAAAAGCATCTGACATTGTGTGCAGAGGAAACAGCAAAGAACATGCAATAGACAGCAAACAAGGGAAATCCTCAACAAAATCTTAAAATTCAGCCACATCGTATCAGTATGTGCAAACAGCATTCCTGGAATAACCAGGAGTTATTGTTTAGAGACCAGAAGTACAAGGAACTGCTTTTCCATAATGCAGACAGTTGGACAGTAAAAACATTTCAACAGACACACAAACACACACGCACATAAACAGACACAGGGTAGTGAGAAGCCCATCTGTTTGAGACCATGTTTATTTCCCTGTTTCTACTGCTACCAGTTTGGGATCATAACATTTTATATGTGTAATATTTCACCATAAAGGTATTCATTTAGCTTCGACTGGATTGGTAGTGGGTTTTTTTAAAGAATAAAACCATAGCCAAGGACTGATGATTAAAAAATTAACAAGGGAGAGAGTGAGTGAGAGGGACAGAGGGACAGGTAGAGGCAGAGAGGAAGAGAGACTATACCTAAATGAGAGGGTTTCTCAAATCGAGAGAGGAGGGGAGGGAGTGAGAGAGGAAGGGAGGGAGACCAGCCAGAACCCTAATCCGGATTAAATCCAATCTGGCAACCACATCAAACTAGAGTTAGCTCTCTAGCTAACCGTCTGCTTGCACACACACACACACACGCAGTGCAGATTGAGCAGTGTTTAGCAGCTTGGTCCCCAAAGCCCATTTTGCTTAAAGCTGGAGCATATTCTGCTCGAGGCCAATATGCTGAATGGCTGCACGACAGCTTACTGGGACTTTTGCACTACTAATCATTGAAATGATGGGATAATGTGAATGTGTACACTATGTGTGTGCGGTTATAATGTATTTGTTAGCATGCCCAAGCGTGCATGTGCTCCAGCTATCTGAATGTCTTGCAATAGACCAATTTTCCCTAAACAGTTTAAATTATATTTACCTCTTAAGTCCCATTATTATTCCTATCAAGCACCAATATTGGATTACAAGACCAAATAGTTATTCAGTCTGCATTGCCTACAATTTCCTTTATGTGTTCCTGAACCAAAAAACAAACCCACACTTGAAAAACAAAAAATATAGGGTTGATATAGACTTCTACATCTCTCTTGTTCTGTCTCTCTCACGCAAAGTCAATAGACACACAAAATCTTCCTGTCCCTGTGTCTCTCTCACAGATACACTCACACAGCCTATCTATCTGTAGCCCAATCCCTAGCCTCAGCGTCCCCATTGATTGTGTGAGAACAGAACAATAGCCCTGGGTTTGGAAATGGGCTTCCATTGATTCTAATTAGGGAAACATTAAATAAGATTTACCCACAGATACTGCTGTGTGACTCGGATTGGTTGGGCTCAAATAACCATGGAGCAGGACGATGTGTGTGTGTGTGTGTGGGGATGCATATATATACAGTATATGTATATAGACACACACACACACACACACACACACACACACACACACACACATGGGTTTTGTGTGTGTGTAAGAGAATTGGGGGTGGTGGACAGTGTTAGATCAATACACAACTCATCCCCACAACTCTGTTTCACTCTCTCTTGCTGTTTATCTCTATCTAGCTGTTGCTCTCTGGACTCTTCCTGTCTGTCTTTTACAATCTGTCCATGGCTCTATTTCTACCTGTCTATCTTCTCCCGTTTTTTCATTGCTAATCTCTCTCCCCCCTCTCTCGCTTTCTCTATCCTTCACTCCGCACTTCTATCCTCTGCTATTATTCCCATGCTTGATTAGTCAGTGGATTAATTTGGAAGCAGGGTATCAGTCTGTTACTAATGGGCCATAGAGGTCTCATCACCACATGTCACCATTACCAGCTGAGCTGTTTGGCTTTCAGTATTATCTTTCCCCCCCTGTATGTATCAGTGAAGCTTCTTAAGGCTGTGATACAAAAGACAACATTTTGGGCAACCTGGATCACTGGCATTAATCGTCTTTATTCACACCTTAGAGCATCTTCTAGCTGTAAATACATCAATTAGTGTTTGATCTTTTGTCAAGTGCCAAATAATAAATGCATTTCTCACTTTTGATGTTTTTCTTGAAGTAAATGTGCTTTTTGACAATTTCAAAGGTTTGGTTACATTTCAAGAATTTTCAAGAGTGCCAAATACATTTAACATTCTCAGTTCACATATTTATGAATTGCGTGTTGGTTTCACACAGCATTTTTTCTGTTTCTTTCTCCTAGCCCAATGTTTATGTCAGGTGCTTTTCTGCTACATGAGGAAATACCTTTAGACATATGTGTTACCAGCAGGCGATGTTATCAGGGACTTTGCATATGACCTTTCACATTTTTGCACCTGATTGGTGTGGAACAGCTTGCAGCCTAATAAGGCAAAAATTCACCATCTCTCTGTCTCTGTGTCTTTCTCCTTGTCTGGTGGTCATGTCAGTTGCCTTTGGCTGCCTTGCAGATAACAAAATCGTCTCTCACCTGCTGGTGGCCGAGCCAGAGAAGATTTACGCCATGCCTGACCCAACAGTACCCGACAGCGACATCAAGGCCCTGACTACGCTGTGTGACCTGGCGGACAGAGAGCTAGTGGTCAACATCGGTTGGGCCAAACACATCCCAGGTAGGAAAAAAAAAACTGCTGAACCCTGACTCCCACACTGAACTTAACCTGACTCCATGCTGAGACACTTTCACACACACATACAGGATGTTTTTTTTTTTTTTTTTTTAATTCCACACATATACAGTACAAATGCAGACATGCCTGCTGTGTGAATTGGCAGAGACTTTAAGGTTGGAATCAGCTGCTCCAGATGCATTTCAGGCACACTTACATAATATACTCACAAGTACACCTGGTGTTTCGATGTTACCTTTACCTCTAATCCTTGCACTCAGACAGTTTGAACTATTGACTTCTACATATGAGCAGCCCTCACTGGCATCACATCATCCTACGCAAACACACGGACATACATAGAAATTCTGAACCAAACAATTCAAGCTTCTTCCATTCAGTGTGTGGGTGAGTGTTTTGGTCTGTGTACGAGTTATATAATGTTTGTAGTTCAACTGTGTTTGTGCTGGTATTTAAAATGACTGTCAAAGATCACATACAGATAATAAACTGTATCACTTGGTGTTCACTGTCTGTCTGAAACTGAACAGTAACCAGTTACTGATATGATCAAAGCTGTACCTTCACCCATCCCTGCTCGAGCACATTATAGAGAAGATGTTTTGCTATGTTGTGTGATCCTGACATAGTTGATTTGAACACAATAGCATGTTATTTGTTAAATTAAGTGATGAGCATCATCTGAAATCTAAAGTCAGAGACAGAGAAGCACTATATATATATATATAAACTTTACACCTAAGCACATCTGTATCCTTCCACAGCTTCATCACTAAAAGAGAAGAATTTAATCTAATCTTCTTAAACTAACCCCTTTTCTCTCTTAATCTGATCAGAACTGGATCTGGACTACAAGATCACAAAATTAACATAATGGTAGAGCCAAAAATGCCAACATTACCGAATGAGAAAACCAGATATGACAAATGCATATAACCACAGAAGGTAACATGATGAGGAGGACAATGACTGTGATGCAAGAGAGAAAGAGATGAAAACTCTAATCTGGTTTTAGTCTTAGTGAGGGAGCCTGCTGTGACAGCAGAGAGGAAGGAAGAGCAGTGTCTCAGATTAACACAGATTAGCAGAAAGATTAGTCCCATTGTCAACTAGAAATGCGGTAATAGAATAGAATAGAATAGAATAGAATAGAATAGAATAGAATAGAATAGAATAGAATAGAATTACCCACTGTTACCGCTGCAGCAGCAGTATAGGGGTTGTCAGAGTACAAGAGGGAAACGCCAGATTAGAAACATAAATACCACTCAGTCATGCTGCGTAAATCTATAACAATAAAGTAAGTGGCGTTGGATAACTCAATGTCCAAATGATATGTATATGATATCAATAAATGTGAAAATAACGAAAACAAGAGGAGAGAGAGGGCAAGAGAGAGAGAGATGGGAATATGCATTGCTTCTTGTTAGTGTATTGATCTATGTGCTGCTATATGGACAATAAGCAGACATATATATTGATCCATATACTAAGTATAGCTCTTTGAAAATTCGTTTTTCTTTTTAAAAACAACAGTCCTATACTGTCCTTCCTCTATTTTAACTTCATCTCCCCGTGAGCCTTTACCCCGCTCGTCTGACCTCAGGACCTCCATACTGTAAATAAACTGTATCCATACACAAAAATAACTCTGTGACACCTAAATATACACAAAACCATACATGTGTTGTGTACTTTATGCATTGTTTTGCATCAGGCCTGCCTTTTCTTGTGCTTACTGTTTTTACAAGTGAGTGGACCAAGTTAGCCGGGTTATGTGCTGGGCTTAGCGTGCACGCTTTGTGTGTGTGTGTATGTGTGAGCAGCTTTCTGTATGAAGGGAGCGAAGCGCAACGATTGCTTGGCGGAGGAGAGAAGATGGCGTGATTAGATGAACGAGGAAGGCAATCCACTGCTCACAGAGAAAGATAGAACTCTTCATCTTCCAAGTGTGTGTGTGTGTGTGTGTGTGTGTGTGTGTGATGTGAACACCTTATGAAATCCTCACTGTTTACAACGCTGAACACTGATCTAATACTCACACCAAACTCGCACACACATTCATGTCCTCACACAAAGTGATCTACTGTTCACTCAAGGTGGAAAGGATTGTCAGAAAGAAATACGCCTCCTCAACATTCTTTATCAGCCGCTTACACACACACACGCACACACACGCACACACACGCACGTACACGCACACATAGAGCAGGACAGAATAGACCTGTTAACCTTTTTGAAGCCATCTTGTTTCACATCTTGTTGTGTGTGTGTCTCCGTGTGAGATGACTATGTGCAACGTGTACATGTGAACACACACATGCACAAGTCTCTGCTCGCCATGGTACAGTAATTTTTTTAATCAAATTGATGGAGAGAGACAGAGAGACAAAGAGAAAAAAGACAGAGGCAAAGAGAGGAGAGGTGAAGCCAATTTATGCTTCATGATATGGCTGCGCGGTGCCGCATACACACACGCGCGCACATACGGACACACACGCACACAAAGGCTGCTAACAGTGGTAACAACGTGTCAAGGCGAGCGCCAGGCAGCTAATTTGAAGTCATTAGATGTCTGCCGTACTGGCAACAATTTGTTACGCTCTCACACGCACAAACGCACACACAAAAACACATCACATACACACACTGAGTTAAGAGCCGTCTGCGGATAGCGAGGAGCCTAAATTGTAAACTAATTTAAACATCACTCAGCGTTAGAGAGGCTGCCTGCAAGACAGGCCCCCGGATAACAAGGCTAGAGTACGTGTGTGTCTCTGTGTGTGTCTGTGTGTGTGTGTGTGTGTGTGTGTGTGTGTTGCTAGTCATGTTTGACACACAGAGTCGCCCAACCTTACAGACTTTTGACAACACACACACAGATACACACATATCTCTTTGATTGGTTCTTTTATTCTAAGACTTATGTGTGTGTGTGCATGCTCATTTCCATACTGATATGGCCTTATGCAAACATTTGATATGTCATTAGGAGAGGAAAATGAGGTTTCAGACACAGCGTGTGTCTCTTGTTATCCCACAAGGAATCACACATGTGTACTTCACACATGCACGTGCATCAGGGATGAAATGCATGCAAATACATAACCACAGACCAGTAATAGAAGCCCCTTTTTTTGCTGATTCAAACTGTGGGCAGCGCATAGACAAGTGACCCCACAAATAAACGCACACACGATATACAATATATGGTCACACTCTGGAAACTGTGGGTATGTGGAAATATCAGAAGTTATTATTCAGAGGGCATGAAAGGCCTTACCATCCAATAATATGGATTAGTGAAGAGAAGATCTCATTTTAATAGCTCTCAAAGAGACAACTCCAGTTGCATATTAGGCTACATGTCATTGTCAAGTGTGTGTGTGTGTGGGTGTGTGTGTGTGCGCGCATGTGTGTTTGAAGGAGGAACGGAGAGCAGTCAGGTGAGAAGAGGAGGAGAAGAACAGCAAATATTTAAACAGGAGCGAATGAGAGCGTGAATTAAAAGAAAGAAAGGCCATTCAAAATTAGCCATTTATCTGCCAGTAGAATTTGTCTTTTCATCCTCTTTTTTTTTTTCCCCCCCTGTTCTCTTACTCTCTCTATTTCGGTCTCTCTCCGTCCATAATAACTAAATGACTACCGGGCAGTCATACTAGCAGCTCTTATCTAGACTCGCGGACACAAAAGAGAAAGACAGACAGGCGAGCACTTGACTTGACGAAAGAGCAAGGAAGGAACAAATGAATGAATCAACGAATGAGAGCCAGAACCTATAACACAGTCTATTTTACCAGAACCAGGGGCCTTGCCATTAGTGCTTTTCTTTTTTTTCTTTTTTTTACAACCCCCTCCCCTATTCTTTCTTTATTCAAGAAAGAAATTGCTCTTGGGCCACCCCCCTACTTCCCCTCCACTATTCTCTTGCTTCCCTATCTCCTCTTACTTGCTCTTTCTTTTCTTACAGTCTTTCTCCCGCTCTTTCTTTCTTTCCCCTTTCAATTTTGACACTCAGGATAAGCAGTCTATGTGTCGGCAGTAACGCAGCGTGATTGAGCTGTAAAAATTGGGGGATGGGAGGTGCGGCGGGGTTGCCGTCGGTCCATTCACTTAATCGGTCTTTATGGAGATATGGGAGAAGGGGTTTGGGTGGTGGTGGTGATGGGATAACAGGTGAGGAAGGAAATCCTCTCGCTTGATGTTCTGCATACCTCTCTCTGTTTGTCTGCATCACCTACTCGGTAATTCGTCTTCCTCATTTCTTCTTCTCTTTTTATTCGTCTTGTATGGGTTTGGGGATGCTGGTTAAAATACCCTGTGGTGATGCTGAAAACATAATAGAGGTCCAGGTCACATCACAGTCCTATAAACTCTGACATTCCATGCTACCGGGTGACGGTAAATATGCTGAAAAATGTTTTCACTGTGCATTGAACAGCCCTCTAACGCTTTGCTGCTAGGACTCCAGCCCACATTTAACATCTTAATATACATTTCAGTTTAAAGGTCTTTGAAGAGATTCAGTTATTCAAATCCAAACAGTTTTAAGTCACAACATTAGAAATTATTCTGAGTGTGATGTATAAAACCTCTGATTTGTGACTTTGTGAGCTTAAAAGAAGATTAGCTTAATATGAGTTTGGGCTTATACAGTGTGATCCATATTGATTAAATTGAGACTACAGCCCCAAGAAAATGTAAAAATTAAAATTTCTCATGACAAAATGCTGGACTGGCAATTTTATTATTTCCAAATTGCTCAGTGAGTGAGGCGCAGTCTCTTCCCAGCCAATTATTACCTGTGGAGTTCCTCAAGAATCCATCTTTAATCCCATT